GCTTTGGTGGAGGGGATCGTGTGTGGTAGTCTGGTGCCAAACGTTCTCTCTCCAATGGCGTGTTTTGCTTATCAAATTGGGTGGGGAGCAGAGGTGGAGGAAGAGTTGGGGATATTTCCATGATTGCATTAGTGGTACAGCATTTGAACTGCCTCATTTCATTCCCTCATTCGTTTGGCACGACTTCTATTGCAACATTTTGCTACTTTGTCTTGTCCTGCAGCCACAAGTCAATTACCCCCTCATCAAGTGGTCGTGCGCATCTCTGTGTTTTCCTCAATTACATTTTCCACATCACTAACGATGGACACGAGGGTAGTTGCTTCCAACAAACACAAAAATAAATGCAAGTTTTGCAAATGCTGAGTCCAGTTGGCAAGTTTGGCCTTCTCTTCGACAGCCACACATGTTGTAGCACGGAGGTGGACACGATGTTGGCTGCCTTGGGGTGGCAGGTCAACCGGTGTCACCAACGTCCCGAACTGCTGCTGCGATCACGGGTTGACAGGTGACGTGACGATGGCATGGCAGTTGGAGTCACATGAAGTGACTCAGTTGGATGCACAAGTAGTCTTGCAAAGTGCGTTTGTGTGTCCAGTGGAGTTGGGAGTTGGCAGTGCTGTCTTGGCAGAGAGGCAGAGTGTGACGGTGGTGGTGGTGGTGATGGTGGTGGTGGTGGTGGTGGTGGTGGTGTCAAAGGACGAAAAGTGGAGGGAATGTGTTGTGCTTGAGGCATAATTCGACCTGCAGACCACGTCAGTGATCGCCGTTGGCCAATGCTTTGTGAAGTCGCGTCAGGGCAGCACCTTTAGTTGATGTGTCGACTTGAGTTGTAATGTTCCATCAGTGGTGTTGTTTGAGGAAGCAGGACAACGTGGCGAATGTGAATGCAGTGAGGAGTTGTAATTTTGTGAGGAAGGAAGACGCTTCTATGAACTGGTTTTCTGCTTTAAAAAATCCATTTGTTGATGTTCCAAAAAGCTGCTAATATCAAAATGCCAGTGTAAACTTCAAATATCGTTATTTTCTGAATTTTTTGCCTCTTAAAGCTTCAATAAAACCTGTCGAAATGTTACCTTCTTGAAAAAAATAGAGAAATCTTATATGAAATTGGACGCATAGACCCTTTGAGACTCAAATGGCAGCTCCTAGCTGCATCACTTCCCCAGTTCTTGAGACTTCCAAATCCTCGCTTCCTACTCACTTGCTTTACGCACCAATGCCTCGATATTTTGCGTTAAAGTGAGAAATAAAAAGGCTTTTAACTCTGTCGATTGGATAACTTGAGCCAACAATGCGTCAAGCCTCCCAATGAGAGCACTCCATGTTGACGTATTCAGAGGCTGAAGTAAACAAAGCTGATTGCTATTGAGAGACGCACACTAAAGAGACCATTTTTAGTTCCTTGCTCCGCTAACGATCGACAAAGTCGCCATGTCACTATCAAGTAAGCCCAGACAGTTTAGGTTTGGTGGATCGGAGTGGGTGGTGTGGTCGTTGTGAGATGAGGAAATTTGAGCCTGCAACTGCAAGCTCGACATAAATCGACTAATTGATGGATTGAAATGAGTGACCAGTACCATCTCGAGTAAACAATTTATTTGCACCATTGTTTGATAGCTGATCACTCAACCTAATTCTACCCGCATGGACACTTTCCCTTGTTAAAAGATAGCTCTGTCTCATGATTAGCGCCTATTAGCCGCAATAGCAAAGAAAGCCGGAAATGAGTCGTGATTCTTGGCCTCATTACTGCAGATCACAGCACCATCACACACACTCCCATCACGCAATTATTTGGTTTCACACAAAATCGGGTGAAAGAAAAATCAGCGCTCTATATCATTTAGTGTAATCCCAAGTGGTAGTTTTATGACACTCAAGGCAAAGAAAATGGAAAATTTATTGTTTGGTGCAAATAGAGAGGAGTCAGTTTCTTCCATATAAAATATGACTTCTCTCTTATAAGAGCACTTGTAAACAATTCTGTGATGAAACCTGACTCTACTTTAAGTAGTGCTATGGTCAATGTAATTCGACTTTTGATTTATTGGCAAATCGATCAATTACCAAATCAATCTACATCCGATGGCAAAATTAAAAATCAATTTCTAACAACCGTGCACTGATTAAACGCACAAGGTGGACAGGAGAGGTCTGTTGAATGTGGCATTTGAGTGAGATGTTGAAGGCAGTGCGGGTTTAGGAAGATGGAGGGCATGGGAAATGACAATGGCAAGATTGATGCAGAAAGCGCAAATTAGAGAGGATGTTAGAAAAGGAAGTGATCACCAGGTGTGAATGCAGGAGATGAATTAAAGAGAACGAGTGTTGTCATTAAAATGGAAGCAGCCGATACAATGAATGTTCATTGTGGGATTGCAATACAGCAGGCCAATGATCACCCACCTACAGATTTCGTGCATCTCGTAACTGTCGTGACAGTGCCGTGAACAATGCTAAGGAGGAACTGCAGCCGACTTTCCATTCGACTCCCTCTTGATGCCAAAAGTACTGTGCTCAGACATTCACTCAACTCAAATCAGTTTGGGTGCTCTCTCGCCTCCACTCATCGTCAGACAGTGTGTCATCGATGGCCTCCAACCCATTGCCATGCCTGCCATCACTGTGCTTGGAGGTGGGAGCAATGTCTCGCCAAACAACCACCAACCACCATGCGACCACTTAAAAGGCGAATTGAGTTATGCCAAACAAATGTCACTTTCACAGTCCAACACCAATCCTCCCACTCATCGTTCTTGTCCACAATGCGCGAGGCACCAAGGGAGTCCACTGTCATGGTGGTGCCAGGCGCAATACTAGGCAGAAGGAGGTCTCGTTCTCCTCTCCCTCATACGACTCGCAGCAGCCAACAGGTCATGGTAATCCATCCAACAACCACAACACACTTGACGATCCACTCAAAGGCTATCAACAATACAATTTGGATAGTCACCATTCATCAACTTCACGTTATCACCGTAGGACTTTAACTGTTTGACAGCTCGCAGTGACGAGTGTGACGTGCTGTTTAGTGGTTGACTCTACCTCTGCCCTCACAACACCGTGGAGGGGAGATCAGAAGGTGCCAATCAAGATGCCTGGCAGGTGCAGTGATGGGAAGCACCCGCAGTCAAATTGATTGGAGGAGGAAGGATGGAGATGACTTGTGTGTCCACCGAAGAGTTGGAAGACGATTTCGTGATGCTCAGACAGTCATTTGAGGTGGACATTTGAATGGTGTAAGTGTCTGTGATAATGATGATGATAACAATTATGATGGTGGTGACTATGATGATGTTGTTGCAAACAACGACATCGTACTGCATCCCACGTGCCGAATAGTCTTACCTAGCGAGATGTCAGCTGAGGTGTTATAAATGGGACGAAGGTGATGGATGGGGATCTGCATCACCATCACCCAGTCATCCACGTCATTTCGCCTTAGTGGAGGGGAAACTCACTTTACCAGGAGGCTGTGCAGTGGAATGGGCGAGGGGATATGCGGCGCCAGATCATCACAAGTTCAGTGGTTTTCGCTTCTCTCTCCCTCGCCTCCCGCCTTACATGCCTGCCATTGCACATGTGGGGTGGAGCGACAGTTGACGACGAGGACGTGGATGTGAAGGCACAGACGAATGGCACTGCTTCACTCTTTCAGACATGCACTTCCACCATCCTCCACGTCAAATCATGTGGCCTACACAAGTGTCAACCTACAATGTGCCAGTTGAAAATGAATGATCAGATGACGAGTGCTTGAAGGAACAATTCAACCTGCAAGGCACACCATCAAGTGCATGTTCTTGCTGACTTCCTCCACCCACGAAGTCCTCCTCACCCTAGGCACGAAAATCACGTCCGAATGGGTGATTGGACCTTGAGTTTTGCATTTATGGAAGTGACATTCCGCGTCCTCATCTGTGGTAGTCAGCAGAACGCCTACTTCCAGCATCAACGATGGCTCTCATCGTTGACCACTGTCTACACTTTGAGTGCAAATGCTCTCAACATCCGTCCACTTCCAGGACCGATGAATGATGGGCAGAGACTAATGGGATCGAGTGGTCATAGCGGTCCAGCCCGTGTGTACGGGCATCATGAGTAAATGAGTGGATGGGAATGTTGGCGACTGAGTGGGCACCTCTCCCTCCTGCGAGTCATGCAGG